TCGCCAACGCGTTATTCACAAATAGCCGCTGTTGTGTTTTAACAATTCAGAGATTATTTCTGGAAGGAAAATTAATCTCTTACTTTTAACGTAAATGTGTGCAGTTTCAATTTAAAAGTTTCTTTTAGGGTAGGGAGTCGCATCTGTTCACATTGAATTCTTTAAATTTGAAAGGGCCATTTCTTTGCAGTCGTTGAGCAAAAAATGCTTAAACTCTTAACAATATATATTATGATAACTTGTTAATGTGTTGTTATTAAATTTCTTTAAAGTGATTTTGAATTGAGTGTCTTAATTCCAAAACCAAAGTGATCGATGTGGCCAATCACAAAGGACACAGACAATCCAATGAACCAATCAAAACTCGCAGCAAATACATGAAGCTGACGCAAAGCGCGGGAAAACGTGATCGAGCGAATCACGATTGGTTTTGGTTTTACTTCTGATTGGTTAAGAATAAAAGTGGCGCGATTTTTTTTTACGCCAATCGCGTAGCGTGGCAATGCAAAACCAAAGCGTACTTTTGTATGGTTGGTCGTTTGTTTTCCTTTGACCAGCAGATAGATTCTGGTTTTTAAAGAAGCTGTTGAAGTAGATAAAGATATTGAAGCCGGTTTCGTTGTTCGATCCTTTAAGTTTCTAAATTTTGTTGTCATACCACAGTTGTTTCTCTAATGCGAGTGTCAAGGCCTTATACTGTTAAATGGTAATTTATGTGGTTCGTTTCCCCTTCAAATTGCCGTCGACTTTCCTCGTAGTAATTATATGAAAACAAGTGTAAAATTACGATTTTAATTTCCAATGTTTAGCCATGTGCGTGAAATAACACGTTGGTTTGTTTTGACGATTGATATTTGTATTCAACTCTGAAATCATCACAGCATTTTCACATGACTTTACCTCGGCCGTATTGACGAGTTCCAGCAATGAACTTTGTCTCCTTTGTAAAGTGAGTTCGTTTTTATGATCCAAACATCTCGTTTTGTTTGGCAACACAAAATGGCTGGTCAAACAGTGACAACACTCTATAAACATCACCAGCACATTGTTTTCCAAACCAGTTTTAACCAGTTTAAACAGTTTGTTCGTGTAGATGACACCAAAAGTCTCGTCATGTTTCTGAATTTCATATGTTGTGCAGTGTTTTATTGTTTTATTGTGAAGATTTTCCCAGTTGTATAGAGAATTTTTAAAAAAGGCTGTAAGGACAAAAGCTGTCTTCTCTTTCTTGGAGTCATTTCTTAAATTTATCATTCATCACCCATCTTCGTTGACATTATTTAATTTATGTTCAACGTCATCCTTATGTAAAGAATGTCCTCGAAGCCAACTGCATGGTTAAGACTGCGCAGTATTCGTTGAATATACTGACAGGTTTAGTCAATATCTAGTTCCACAAGGTTCGTCTTTGTAATGTGACGGTAGGTTTGATATATGGGCAAACTTTCACTAAATTGTGGCATCGAAAGCCGGTGTAAGAGCTATTGTTGAAATGTTCGCGAACCGGAAACTAAGTTAGAACTTTATAGTTAAGCTTCTTTCAACCAGCTGCAGTTGTATTATTCACCTGGTTTCCTTACACTTTTCAAGTGAGTTGTAACATGAAACCAAGCCATTAACAATTTGTTTTCGTCGTATTTTAAGATATACTCGTATGTTATTCACAACACTTAAGCTACATAGATGGAAGTTGCCGGTTACCAGCGCCACAAACAAGGTCCTTTTTAGTCCAATATTTTCTTCAGAATTAGCCTAAGACGGCACTGTTTAAACCTGTCTCCGGAAACAGAATCTCACATTCAAAATATAATGTCAAGGAACTAGGAACAGCGATATGTATTCAGACCAAATTAACCAAATGCAAGGTATTCATAAATTCTATGTTTTTTTCGAAAATGAAAGGCAAACATTTTGTCAAATAAATCGCTTCTGTTGCTAATGTGTTGTATGTCATATTATTTATAAGCCGTCTTTTTCCTGCCCCATCTCTTAAATAAACGTTCGCAACAGCCTGATTCTAAACTCGTGCACGGAAATAAAATATAAAGCTATAAACGTCTATATAGACAACAAATTTAAATTAAAACTATCTAATACGAATTAGATTAAATTGCATTCAGCGCAGTATTAAAGTTAGGTCTCACCGTTAAAGTTCTGTGGCGTGCATCCGTTTCGTCGTGTCGTAAGAAGCTCAACCTTTAAGAAACTAGTTAACTGTCGTTCCTTGCTTGAATTTCAATAGTCTTTGTTTTCAAAGAGATATTCTTTGGACTGAAACAAAAGTGTTACCTGTCATAAAATAAGAATTCTAAACTCCATGGTTTTTTCATCGAATTTCAAAGTACTGAGTAATATTCGTGTTCCAACGTGAGAAATCTTTTGGTAATTTTTTGAAGCACACTCTTTCCTGGTTATACTGAAGTGTAAACTGATATCAAACACGCATCAAGTTATTAAATTGAAATGCAGACTATTTGCTTGAAAGTTGACACGCTACATTAACTTGAAAAATACGAAAACGCTTATTTGACAATCTCGTTGCCAAGCAATGCATCACAACTTGGAGAGCAGTGGCGAAGGCCTTGCCTGTCCCCGCACTCTATTGGCCGTTTGACATCTTTTTGTTGGCCTCGCATCGCTTGTCCAATCGACCACCATCAGAGTTCTATACATAGGAATATTGCCTTATGAACTATA